CCCTTCCTAGCAATAGACCTTAGCCCACTGCCCTTACTTCTGCCTCTTGGACACTCTAGGCCTATGCCCAGTTGGGCCTTTGCAGTAGCTGTCACCTTTGCCTGGATGTGATTCCCTCAGGGTTCCTGAGGGAATGGCTGGCTCCTCTTTGTCCTTCAGATTCCAGTTTTAATGTCATTGCCCTGCCCGCCTCGCCTCGCATCCTTTCCCTTCCTAGCAATAGACCTTAGCCCACTGCACTTACTTCTGCCTCTTGGACACTCTAGGCCTATGCCCAGTTGGGCCTTTGCAGTAGCTGTCACCTTTGCCTGGATGTGATTCCCTCAGGAATGGCTGGCTCCTCTTTGTCCTTCAGATTCCAGTTTTAATGTCATTGCCCTGCCCGCCTCCGCAGCCACTCTATCATCACCTTGCCTATTTTCGTTCTCTATACAGTGCTTATCACGATCTGCTGTTCCTCCCGCAGGGTTTGTGTATTGTTTAGAATATGTCTCCCTGTATTAAATGTAAGCTCCATGAGAACAGGATCTCTTTTTCCTTTGTCTCTGTTCTATCTCCTTTATCTCCTAGAATAGACCTCGCACAAAGAAGGCACTCAACAAATATTTCTGGACTTCAAATGGGATAATCTACGTGAACTCTTGGCCCTGTGCTTAGCATGTAATGGTGCTCTATATGTAAGCCCCCGAAAAGAATGGACGAAACAGGTGCTGCAGAGAGACAGCTGTCACTCAGAGACCAAGATCAAAATATTATTCAACATTTTGACACTGCCTGTCACAACGGCTTGAAACAAATGTATTTTCTTTGTACTGAAATACATAAAATCTTCTGACAGTTATTTCAGGAACCCAGCTAATAGATTCCATTTTCTGCCCCAGAAATAGAAATAATAAAAACCCTGGATCCTTGAAAGCAGCTGAAGTTTTAATGGGCAAACCAGGATGGAGAGAATAATTGGATTCCGTGGTAAGGACAGAGCCTCTCTTGTCACAAGCAGACACATTTTCCCATCTGTTCAATGAGATAGCTGGCTATGTTCAAAATATGCTTTTCAATAGCAACAGTCTGTCTGAGAGTCCACAATTCAGGGGAATGAGTTGCAATTACTTCAAGTCTCTTACCTGCCCTCTGCCCTTCTCTTGTTTAAGGGTTTGGGATTAGCACAGTGGGAATGAAAAAGTATCTAACCATATAACGGCCTTCTGCTATGAGGCCCAGCTATAAGTTTGGACTTCTACCTATTTGAGACTGAGTCATTCATTTAGTAAATATTAACAAAGATGGTGAAAGAAGGCCTGTGTAAGGAGGAATCATCATCAGAATTCTTAGTTGCAAACAACAGAATCCACTCCAGCTACTTTAAGCAGAAAGAAATGCATTAAAGGATATTATTGGTACACAGCTCCCCTGCAAGTGTCCGCATGTTATCTTCAGAGGCCATGCTGCCAAGAACGATGCCCAAACCATACCACCCCTGCAAAGGTATGCTGCTATGCACCAGTATTCCTGAGGACTAGATGGTAAAAGCTCTACTCTGCTTTTCTTGAAAAACCAGTTGCTCCTGTCAACAGTCTCTTCAAAAACCAGAGTCTGCATGGTGCCCGTTTCCTCATATCACTCATTTCCATCTTGAAGTCTCAGGCAAGTGCAGTGCATCTGAAGGTAGAGCCTAGCTGCAGAGGAAGCTGGGAGTCTCATATATGTGGAGAAGGAAGGGCACACATGAAACAAATAACACCCCCAAAACATGCACTTGAGCTGAGAACCAAAGGGTTAGGAGTCAGCCGTTGGAAGAGAGAATGGAAGAACTTTCCAGGAAGAAGGAACAGCATGTGCAAGATCCTGAGGTCAAAACAAAACAAACAAAAACAAAGAGCACTTGAGATATTCAGGGAACAGAGAGAAAGCCAGTGATACTGTAGCCCAGTGAGTGAGGGGAAGAGAGGCAAAAGTCAAGGCTGGGGAAGTAGGCAGAGGCTTAATGCTGCAGAGTTGTAAGGGTCATAGTCAGGAACATAGATATAATTTAAGTGCCATGAGAATCCATTAAAATAGGGGATGACATGACCGTATTTACATTTTTAAAAGATCACACTGTCTTCTGAATATGGAGAAGTATTGGAGGGGCACAGAAGATCAGCCAGGAGGCATTTGTAGTTGTCTAAGTAAGAGACAGTGGCGGCAGGTGGCAAGAAGCAGACAGACCTGAAATGTGTTTTTGGTGACAGATCGTTCAACACTTGCTAATGGATTGACTTTGGGAGTAGAGAGGTAGGGAAAGAAAGGATGCTTCCCAGGTATGTGGCTTAAGCAGCTGAATGGCGCCATTTACTGAGATGGAAAGTGTAAAGTTTGGGGTAGAGGAGAAATATCAAGAGTTCAGTTTTGAACCTATTAAATTTAAGATGCCTATGAGAAGTGCAAATGGAGGTGATGAGTGGGTAAATATGTAAGACTAGACTTCAGAGGAGAGGTGTGGGTCAGAGAGAGAACAATTTCTACCCAACCCAACATATGGAACTGGGAACGAATGACCACCATGGAGTCATAGGCAAAGACTGAAAAACACACTCGGCTTGGTGCCAGAAGACCTAAATTTCCATCTAGGTGATGCCACCTATCAGTTACATAGCTTGGAGTAAATCTCAGCATCCATGTTTTTATCTGGAAAATGGGCACCACGACTGGTATTAATTATTATAGATTCAATCTAGGGATAGGTGATATCTCATAGATTGTTTTCTAGTCATGTCCTGTCGGAATGTCTACTAATTTCAACAGGAATTTTCCCAAGTTCCAGAGCATGGGGATAGTCACGGTCATTAACAATAATGACCCAAATTCCTCTAGCTCATGCCCATACCTGCTAATAACAGATCTGCACAGTCCACTTCCCTCCCAGACGTTTCTGGGCATCCCCAGATCATATCTCATAGTGGCTCAAAAACAGGCTCCCCCTGCTACTCTGCCACCATCACACCTGAGCCCTCAGCATGTTGGATCTGAAAGCCCCATCTCCTCTGTGCCATGGTGAGGCAGAAGGTCCAGAGCAGTCTTAGTCTAAAACCCAACCCCACTGGTAGTCACCTTGCCTCTTACATTCATGGAGTGTGACTGGTCACCACTTGGAAGAATGGATGGGAAAGTACTTTGTAAGAGTGGAAGGGCATGGTCTTTACGGAGAGTCCACCATGGGCAGGTTTTCTTTGCATATATCCTCTCTAGTCCTTACAACAGCCCTGCAAGGTGGGTAATTATTAATTATTATCTTTATTTGACAAAGGAAGAAATAGACCCAGAGAGGTGAATAACTTTCTCCAGGCCACACAGCTGACTTCAGATGACATCAGGACGCTGTCAGTCTGAGCATCATCGTGCTGCCTCTCCACCAAGTACGAGGGTCTCAGAACTTAAGCCCAAGCCAATGTCCTTGCCTTGTTCTCTGCTCTCTGAGACCTGGTAAGAAGGAGCATTGATGTTTCATTGAGATCTGGGAGTGTTTTCTTTCTTATGAATCCCAGTAACCACATAAACACTGTAAAAATCAGTAGCTGTTGGGCAACCAGCTGCATGATGTATGGGAAGTCCTTTCGTTTTTCTCCTGCCCATTCAAATATCACATTTCTATAAAAGCAAAGTGGTTGATGTAGAGGCTGGTGGACTGCTTGTCAGCCACTTGGTGGGCCATCTGTTTAACACTGCCAAACTCCTACTCATCCTCAAAGACAGAATGAAAGTGCCTTCTCTCCCTGGAAGCCCTCCAGCTCTCTCCCAGACAGAATCAAGCTTTCCCCTCCTCATACTGCTTGCAGCAGACTGTTAGTTGTTCCTCAATATCTGTTGTCCCCTTCATCTATAAAGAGAGAAGCTCTGATTTTTAGCTGGGCATGTGCATGGCCAGAATAAAGATTGTATTCCCTCGCCTCCCCTACAGCTATGTGTGGCCATGTGACCAAGATCCAGTTAATGAGATGTAAGTGGATGTGCCATGTGGCAGTTTTTGGAAAAAAAATCTTTCCTTAAAAAAAATGTTGTGTAAAGAAAATTACAGGCCAATATCTTTGATGAACCTAGATGCTAAAATCCTCAACAAAATATTAGCAATCAGAATATAGCAACATATTAAAAAAATTATACACTGTGACCAGGTGGGATTCATCCCAGGGATGCAAGGATGATTCAACATACAAAAGTCAATAAATGTGATAGATCATATCAACAAACTCAAGGATGAAGACCATAAAATTATCTCAATAGATGCTGAAAAAGTATTTGACAAAATTCAACATCCCTTCATGATAAAGACTCTCAACAAATTAGGTATAGAAGGAAAACATCTCAACATAATAAAAGCCATTTATGACAAGACCACCATCAGTATCATTCTGAATGGGGAAAAACTGCGGGCCTTTCCTTTAATAACAGGAACAAGACAAGAATGCCCACTCTCACCTCTTCTATTTAACATAGTACTGGAAGTACTAGCCAGAGCAATCAGGCAAGAGAAAGAAATAAAGGGAATCCAGATTGGAAAAGATGAAGTCAAACTTTCTCTGTTTGCGGATGACATGATACTGTATATAGAAAAACCTAAAGACTCTATCAAAAAACTCCTAGAGCTGGTTAATAACTTCAGTAACATTGCAGGATACAAAATAAATGCTCAAAAATCAGTTGCATTTATTTACTCAGATAATGAACTAACAGAAAGAGAAATAAAGAAAGTAAGCCCATTTACAATTGTCACACAAAAAATAAAATACCTAGGGATCAATTTAACCAAGGAGGTGAAAGACCTCTATGATGAGAACTACAAACCACTTCTGAAAGAAATTAAAGAAGACACAAAAAGATGGAAAGAGGATGTGCAGACATTAGTTTACTGATAAGCACATGCAGTCAAACAAAATCTGAGGATCACTCACTTTTAGGGACAGTAGAGAGTCACTGAAGGTTTCTGAGTAAGGGAGTGAACAGGATGTAATTGTTGACTGGAGGTGACAGTGAGGAATAGTGCCAGGCGTCAGTGAGGAGGATACACAGAGATACCAGCCCACCTTCAAAGAGCTGGCAGTCTGACTGGCACATGGAAAAACAAGTGAATTGTGAATGATAAATAGTAATGACTAATTAGAGGAAGGACAAAGAGGAAGAAGTTTAAGAGAACGTAGAAACAGTGATTGTTTTTTATTCTGTTTTAAAACATGCATGCCTGCAGAAAGAGCGGAATTTTCTGCAAGGCCCTAAATGGGTCCCTAAATGGCCATACCACACTATTTTTATTTCAAATTCCACTCATTCTGTTTGGTCAAGTTCTTTCTTCTCCATATTTAACCACCAAATTGATGTTTAGCTTCTGGTTTGAGGGACCTCATCCTTCAGTTCTTAGAAGAAACACCTAAAAATGCAAAAGTTTGTGATTAGGCAGGATTTACAACTGTAGTCCTGGTCTTTCAGAAGATATCTACATTATGATGGTTAAAATGTTCGGAGAAGCCGGGGCCGCCCGGTGGCTCACTGGATAAGTGCGCTGCTTGGGAAGCACGGCGGCGCTCCCGCCCGAGGGTTCGGATCCCGTGGGATTCATCCCAGGGATGCAAGGATGATTCAACATACAAAAGTCAATAAATGTGATAGATCATATCAACAAACTCAAGGATGAAGACCATAAAATTATCTCAATAGATGCTGAAAAAGTATTTGACAAAATTCAACATCCCTTCATGATAAAGACTCTCAACAAATTAGGTATAGAAGGAAAACATCTCAACATAATAAAAGCCATTTATGACAAGACCACCATCAGTATCATTCTGAATGGGGAAAAACTGCGGGCCTTTCCTTTAATAACAGGAACAAGACAAGAATGCCCACTCTCACCTCTTCTATTTAACATAGTACTGGAAGTACTAGCCAGAGCAATCAGGCAAGAGAAAGAAATAA